TTTAAGTGAGAGCCTCTTGTGGGGAACAACATCAAAAGCCTTTTGGAAATCTAAGTAGATGACATCATAGGCCAAACATCTGGGTATGCAGGTGGTAAGAACTCCCCAGATCATGTCAGGGAGAGTTCTATCAGCTCTGGGGAGCATTTATCACATCAGGGTCTTCAGGAGGGCCCATAGCCTCATAAAGGACAGTACAACCCCCCCAGCACAGGTTATTCACACTCCTACCATCAAGACGATGAGAAATCAAGGACCATTAAGACCAATTCATGCTTCACAAGTGCCCTTTCGGTTACGGACAAGGGGTCGTGATGTAAATTTCGTCATCAGGGGTTGGCTGTGGACGGTGTACATGTAGCCCAGATTTTTATGTCTAGCAAAAACCATGCATTTCTGTGCGCATCGACTGCACATGTGCAAGAAAATTGATTTGGTTTTCCTGTAGGTGGCAGCTGTTGCGTTCGGCAACGGAGGCGAGCAGGGAAGCAGGCGAATCAGCCAGGACGTCAGGTAACGGGGATTTATTGGACTTAAACAAGGTAACAATACAATGACGGATCTGGGGAAGACAGACTGAGACTCGGACTAAATACAAAAGACCAGCTAGACATAACAGGACACAGGTGATCACAATCAGGGCTGAACACGAGGTAACGAGGTGGGTGTGGCACACATCAGGAGCGGACGGAGCGGGGCATGACAGCAGCACTGATTTTACTGATTAGCAGTCATTGTTGAAAGAGTAGAAGACGAAGAGTTGTTGAAGTAGTCATAAAAAAATAATAAATAAATAAATAAATAAAAAGAAGTAGTCATTTGGTGCACGTGTTGCCCAGTTTCTAATGGAAACCATGTATTTCCCTGTCCATCGACAGCACATGTGCAAGAAAATTTTTTAGGTATTTCCAGTTACTGATCAGTGGTCAATGATGAAAGAGTAGGGGAGAAAAAGCTGTTGTTGTTGTAATTATGGTGAGCAGCTGTTTGAGGAGGGTTGGAGGTACCCACACATCTAATTTTTCATACTGTCCTGACATCATACCGATGTATACAATATTTTAAAAAGCAACACTAGTCTGGCATTTTTAAATATTGGCAATAAAATTCACTGAGCGGGGGGAGAGGGGCTCCTGGTTAATTTTCTTATGTGGCTTTCAAAATACCGTGGTATGCCTTATTACCTTAATACTGCCCAAGCCTTGTCTAATAATGTGTGTGTGGACTGACCCCAAACATCCACATCCGCAGCCAAATGTAGTATGAACACAAGCTGCCACGTACATGACCATCTGCAGCCCGAAAGCACACAATGAAAAGTGAAATATGAACTATGCTTTAGACTGCAGAACAGTTTCTATTAGCAGGCTATCAGGCTTGTGAATGACTTTTGCCCACTGCCCCTCCCCCTCCCCTCTACACCCCCGATTCTGTTGTAATACTAAATTAATTCTGCTGAACCACTGAACGTGTGCAATGGTTTCATACTCATCACAAAGTAATGTGTTCATTCATGATTACAAACGATTGCATTTAACTCAAATTTTTAATCTAATAGGCTTAATGGCAGTCCGTTCATAAGTAAAGGTTGTCCATAACTTGGTCTGATATACTTTTTGGGTCCATACATCAAAATCTCATGTAAATGGAAAATGTAAAACCCAGTCCAGAAGGCCAGCAAGTCCTGCCACAGATCTCCATCTGGATGCACATCACCCATGACAACTCACAGCAGCATGGACATTAACAAGAACTACAGGCACCATATACACTCACCTAAAGGATTATTAGGAACACCATACTAATACGGTGTTTGACCCCCTTTCGCCTTCAGAACTGCCTTAATTCTACGTGGCATTG